GGAGTTTACTGTGCTCACAGTACCAGTACTATAAAAAAAAAAAGAAATATGTTAGATAGTTCGAAATAGGTGGATGTTTGATATTTTTGTGTGAAGTAGTTGAGTAGTGTGTTTACCAAGAGTAACATGACGCATCCAGTGACATACCTTGGGTTGTTGTTTGCATTTGTCATTGAATTCATGAGTGTGTCTTTCATTGCCTCAACCCAATTGTACTTCTTGATGTTGTTGAGATTGTCAACATAGTTGAGGAAACTCCAACTGAGTGTATGGTCTGTTGTAGGCATGAGAAGTTTCAAGCACAAGTAAAGAGTGATGACCCTTGCAAGATCTTGACGATCATTGATCGATTTTCCTTTTTTTGTTTGTTGAAACATTTTGGTTAATGACTTGCCATCCAATCTCTTTACTGATTTGCATCTTCGTTTGTAAAATGCAAGCTCAAAATCCTTTGGTCTTGCATAGGATTTGGTGGTGATGCTATCTTCTCCATAATCGATACCAAAAATGAGCCTGACATCACTGTTTCTGAGTTTAATTTCCTTTTTGCCAAGTATAAATGATTTTTTCTTTTGTTGTAGAGTGTTGTCATTTCTGCTACAATGGAATTGTAGCATCTGCACCAAGAGGCCTTCAGTTGTGTTGAGGAGAGAGCATTTATAATGGGCCAAAAAAGGGTTTTTTCCAGCTCTGTCTATTGGGCTTTTGTGAATTTGGACCCTTTCAACAGTTTGATTACTGTTCCGATATTGGAGCGGTAATTAAACAGTTGGACTCTCTTTGCAGGGACTGCTCATTTTTCCCTTTTGATGGCTTGGTTTTTGTTTTGGGAGTTGATTGGCTTTCTTGGAGCTTTCTTTTCTTGTTTGGAGGAGCTTGTTGTTTTGTTATTGGCTTTCTTTTGTTCTTTTTTTGTGTGGTTGGTGTTTGTTGTGTGGGTGGGGTTTGTGGTGTTGTTCTTGGGCTTTTTCTTGTAAGTGGTGTGGTTGTTTTGTGGGTTTTTTTTGAGTTATTTTTGGTTGTGGTGGTTGGGTTTTTTTGTAGAGGGAGAGATTTTGGTGGCATTTCAGTGGATATAGGAGAAAGACTTTCAAAATGGGAGATACTTAAATCTCTGATTGGATTTTGGGGCATATGGGTTTGTTTCTTCCAATATCTTCCAACAACTATTTCTAAAAAAATGAAAGCAACAGCAGGGCATGAGTAATATAGTGACAAAACTGTATAATTTTGCAGTTTTATATGCAGTTTAATATGAAGTTATATCTATTTGTTGTTAACAGTTACAAAATTGTATAATTTGACAGTTTGATTTGCACTTTATAATAAGTTACCTTTGTGTTTTGAGTAGTGATTAAACTGTGTAATTTTGCAGTTTCATTTGCAGTTTGAATAAATTTAGATATGTTACTTGTAGAGTGATGAAATGAAACTGTCTGATGTTTCAGTTTTTATAAACAGTATCAACAATAAGAACAGTCCATTGTATTTTGTAAGCAACAACAATAACAACGAGAAGATTAAGTATTCAACGAAATGTAGCCACAATACGAAGAAGAAAAGCCAATATTTAACAACAAGAAGAAGCAAGAACAACAAGAATAAGAACAAAGAGTTGAATGTGTAAAAATAGGGATTTATGTGTAAAAACAGTGGATTAGAATGTTTAAAAACAGGGGACTAGAATGTTTTAAAACATGGGATTATATATAAAAGAAGGTTTATACATTTTGAAGTATGTAAAATGTGTTTTACAAGGGTTTGTTTATGAAAGTGTTATTGAAACGGTATATATGAAATATGAAAGAATAATGTACAAATTTGAATGAAAAATAATAGGTGAAGAGAGATGTTACTTTTTCCCCCCATTTTTGTGAATAAGAAGTCAGGAACTATGAAATTTCTTCAGAGTGGTGATGGTTCTTCGTGTTGTTGAGAGTCGCCAATTGGAGAAGATGAACGGCTTGGTGTTGTGTTGGTAAGAGTCGACGATTGGAGAAGATCAGCGGGTTCGTTTTGTGGTTAGGGTAGGGTTTCAGAGGGAGTGGAGTCGAACGGTGGAGACATGGAAGACTGAGAATGCAGAGTCGAGTGGTGGAGATGTGACAGCGTACTGATCAGACTGAGATGATCATGGGTGAAGGTTGCGCACATGTAAATTGGATGATATAGTGTGGGTATTTTCATCTGATTAATAATTTGAGGACTTAATGGAGTATTAAATTTGTTTTGGGACTAAATGAGGCATGACATGTTGGGCTTGGACTTTTGGGTCAGTTTCCCAACTCTTTTCTCATGTGCTATAGTGTGATATGACCAATGGAAAGGTGATGAGATACATCACATGGCCAATTAAAAGAGAGGAGGCAAAAACTTACTGGATGGATGATGCCTGGCACTGCCACAACCTGCATGAAGTTACCGTCTCAGCAATCACTATAAATACATGTAAATCCATTAAGGAAAAAACATCCGAAAATTATTTCTTCAATACAAATTGTTTTATTTTATTTTTATGATATTCTAATTTTCTTTGTTAAGGTTATGGGTGAAAACCCAATGATTTCTCTATAAATATTTTACGATTCAATCATAGTTTTTGATGTTAGACTATTTTGATTGATTGGTTTATTTATTTGAAAAAAAAAATTTGTTCTGTATAATATATATTTTTCTATCGTAGACTCTAGACACGATGAAAACTTGATATTCCCTGCGGATCAAATAATTAGATTTTTATGGTGTAATCAATCAATCAAAACAATCAATCTTTGGGAATCAATTTTTATATAAAATAATCATTTTTATCTTCTGATTGAGAATACCCCCTGTGTATGTTTTAACTAAGTTATATTAAAGAAAGTATTGGTGAAGGATCCTTTATACCGTAGCACCATTTTTATATTATTGTCACCTTAATTTATCATATAGCTACTTAATTTTCCCCTCGATTATCCAATCACTTCCAAAATTCAAAATCAATTTTTCTTTATTTTATTTGAGTGCTTAGTCATTTCTTTGAACAAACTAGACCTTGTGGATTCAACCTCAGACTCACCAAGATATATTACGTCACGACATCATGTGTTTGAAATTGCAATATTAAAGTCGCAGTAAGATTTTGGCATCGATGTCAGGGACCCGCATCTTTGTCTGAAAAGTACCGAGGAGGTTTGCATTGCGATCTCTTGCAATTTTGGTAAACTCATTCCACTCTCTTATTTATTTATTTATTTATTTTTACAAAGTAGGATTTGTGTTTTTTTTTTATTATTTTAAATATATATATTTTTGTTAGCAACAAAACAGTAGCAGAAAATGGGAAGAGAGAGAGAGAGAGAAAGAGAGAGAGTTGTGCTGTGTGTTAGTGATAGATTCTTTATTCTTTTGATTTAAAAAAGAAAAAAAAAGTTGGTTAATCCCACCTAAGTGGATTCTCTTTATTTGGAAGCTACTTCATAACATTTTGCCTGTTAAGACCGTATTAAGTGGGAGAGGCATTCATATGGATGTGACATACTCTAGCTACCAGAGGGAGAGTGAAACGATAAAACATCTTTGCTTCTCTTGTCCCCTGTCTAAGTTGGTTTGGCGAGGATCAACACTAGGTTTAGACTTTGACAATGGGACTCCTTTGTCATTCTCAGTATGGATTTCCCAAGAACCGAATAGCAGGGCTATATTACAATCGGTAATCATACTCTGGACAATTTGGTTACAAAGAAATCATGCTAACTTTTTATCATATTCCACCAAATCCAAGCTACATGTTGCTTAAAATTCAATTCCTGATGTCTTTCCAATATGATAAACAAAGCTTTTTAATAGATTTAGTTGATAAGGAGGGTGGTTTAGGCAATGATGTGATTGAACCTAATAGATGCTCAAAATCCTTTTCTATTACTAATATATATGATATTGTGGGTCGCAAATAGTTAATATTGTGGGTTGCAAATAGTTTAATTCATAAAATCATGGTTGATGGCTCGTGGATGAAGGATACATTACAGGCAGGAAGAGGATGAATGGCCTTTGATGAATATAACAATCAAGTGATAGCAAAAGCTATAAGTTTTTTCGCTTTGTCAGTTACTACTGCAAAAGCAAAAACATGTTTTGAAGCTATTAAATGGTGTGTCAATTGTCAAGTGAAGGCTAACAATATCTTCATGAACTCTAAGGTGTTGGTTGATGAGCTGGCTAGAGGACCATCTGAAGCATGGTATCAACAACCTATTGTTAGTGACATTTTGCACTTACTGAATGCTTTAGACTATATGTCTCACTAAAGTTCATAGAAATGTTGTTAGTGTAGCCCATAGAAGGGCAAAAGCTGCTTGTAGATAAGGCAACAATTTTGTCTTTGGTTTGTACTATTATTTCATATGCGTTAATATAATGGTTTATGGTTAAATAAAAAAAAAAAAAGTCATTGTTTTGTATATAAAAAAAAAAGTTTATATATGTTGCATGCATATTTGGTATTGTGATCATTGTGGTTAGCATTCATTCTGATTCATATATATTGCTTGGTAATCTTTTTAAGTCTGAATTTGATTTATTTATTTGTATACCCTCACATACTTGACATGATGGCAAATAATGGTGGTAATGATAATGAGAAAAATCAAATTCAAGTGGCCCAACATTTTCGAACCTTGCATGATTAGTTGCAACACACAAGGAGTCTCCTTCTTGTATTATTTTCCCTCCAAATGCAAATAATTTTAATTTTAAATGTGTATGATTGCATTACTTCCTAGATTTCATGGCCTTGAATATGAAAATCCTTACTTGCATATAAAAGAATTTGAGGAAGTTTGTGTTACCTTTTTTTACCAAACATGTAGTGAGGAGACTGTAAGGCTGAAGTTTGCCTTATCTTTTTCTCTAAAAGATAAGGCAAAAACATTGTTAAACTCTTGAGATCTAGATCAATAAGCACTTGACAAGAGATGCAAATTGAATTTTTAAGAAATTTTTTCCAATACATAGAACAAATTCTTAGAAAAGACAAATCATGAATTTTTCTCAAAAAGAAAAAGAAACATTTTATCAGTGCTGGGAACGTTTTAAAAATACGTTAAACTCTTGCCCACATCATGGCTACGAATCTTGGCGAGTTATTAGTTTTTCTATGAAAGTTTGACTCTTCAAATGCACCAATTCGTAGAGATGATGTGTAATGGTGAATTTTTTAACAAAGATCCTGATAAAGCTTTTGAGTACTTTGGTTTTCTTGTCGAGAATACAAAATCTTGGAGGACATCTAAGTAAAACAAAACCTTGTTCTACAGTTTCTGGTGGTGGTAAGTACCAACTAAAAGATGATGATGACTTAAGTACAAGATTAGCTACAATAACCAAAAACTTGGATGCCATGTATTTAAGGAAAGTTAATGAAATCACAATTGTGCCTAAAATAGAAAATGTTTGTGAAATTTGTGAGACCATGGGACCCCCAGCACATGAATGTCTAACTATTCCAGCTTTTAAAGAGGTGTTGCATGATCAAACAATATACATTGCAGCAATTCATGCAAGGCTAGATAGTAATAAATAATCAGACATCTCAAGCAATAAATGATATTAAGAACACTCTCACCAAGTTGATCTCTTTATTGAGCATTCAACAAAATAGTAATTTCTTACTCAAGCACAGCCCAACCCGCAAGGTCAATATGGTGTGAGTGATTCTTCCTCTTCTAACACTCACCTTGAACAAGTCAAATCTATTACTACTCTTCGCAATGGAACAATTATTGATAAAATTATTCCTATGAAGGCCCTAAAGCTTAAGGATATTTCAAAAATCATAAAGTAATGATGTTATTGACAAGTCCAAGCCAAGTGAAGAAGTGAGATGTTCAATTCCTGCTTCTTTTCCTCAAAGGTTGCAAACTCATCAAAAATTGAACCACAATGTTGAAATTTTTGAACTTTTCAAGCAAGTCAAAATCAGAATCCCCTTATTGGATGCGATAAAACAAATATTGTCATATGCCAAATGTTTGAAAGATTTGTGTACAATCAAGCGAAAACTTAATGTACCAAAAAAAAAAAACCTTTTTTGATAGAAAATATGAGTGCAACAATTCAACAAAGTTCCACACCAAAGTTTAAGATTCCAGAATGCCCTACAATCTCATGTGTGATTGGGAACCATAAGACAGAGCAAGTTTTTCTGGACCTTGGGGTAAGTGCGAACCTTTTACCATATACAGTTTTTGAATAGTTGGGTCATAGAGAGCTTAAATCGACTACCATTACATTCTAACTTGCAAACCATTCTATGAAAATACCAAGGGAAATAGTGAAAGATATGTTGGTCCAAATAGATAACTTTTATTTCCCCTATAGATTTTATTGTATTGGACACACACCTCGTTTTGCATGCACATACAAATTCCTGTCATTTTAGGCTGTCCATTTCTTGCAACTTTCAATGCTTTGATTAATTGTAGAAATGGTGTGATGGAATTGTCTTTTGGTAACATGATTTTGGAATTGAATATTTTCAATATTTGCAAACAACCAAGGGATAATGATGAGATTGAGGAAGTGAACTTGATTGATAAACTTGTTGAAAAGCATTTATGACTCATATTTTTCTGATACACTTGAAACTTGCTTAGTTTGTTAATCATAATGTCTGATTTTGATGATGTCTAAATACATTAGATATATTATGATTTTATATAATACATACTTTATATCATTTGACACAAAATATTATCTACTTTGCTACATGTTTGTATATATATGATGCATTCAAATATAAATATTATTTAAATAGAATTTTATGTGCATCATTATTTTTTAATAGAAAGGTACTTGTAACATGTCTGAGGGGTACCCGTGCACGTTAAATAGTTCGGACCCTCAATTTCTTCGATCTAGTTTCACGAGTGCAATGTGAAATATAGATGAGAGTCTAGATTTGATAGCTTTTATAGAAAATCTATTTAATTACAAAACTTTTTTCATAAATGGACTATATCACCAGATCTTAGAGTTGCGGCCTAATATTTTGGAAAAAATAGAAAACTCATGACTCGTGCCAAGGCCACTGTTAATCGTAACCAAAGATACTTGGCTCGAAACTTTAGGTATGAGAGGGGAAGGTCTTTAATTGAGCACCCCCACTCACCCAATCAAAGATCGGCCTCTACTAAACCATGATATAAGTTTTATTTATTTTATATGTTCATGTTCCGAATAAAACCTAAAATTTACTATGTGTAGCAAAGAAATTGAGTTTACAAACATGAAAATCAACATCATTCCAAATTAAGCAACACAATCTCCATCCACCGGCATTCATATAGTCATATTAAGTAAGCAAGTAGCCACATGGTAGAATACTAAACATAGTAAGAAAAACACACAAAAGCGGGATGCTAAAGTATAAAAACTTATATATTTACCGACGTCCTGCGAATAACTACAAAACAAAGTTAGCAAACCATGCATGATCTTAAATACAAATTCCTAATGCAATTCACTCATTAAATGCAACTAAAGATTTGGCTTCTAATATATGACATGTGAATCATGTCAAGAACATAAGGTAGCACGCATAATCATATAAGAATTGATTAAATCCATAAATGCAAATTTAGCCGAATCAAGATGCATGAAACAAGGATGCAAAACATGGATATAAGGAAAAGAAAAATGTGATGTGTATGTACAAATAAACAAATCAAGTAAAAGAATAGGATAGAAAGAAGTGGGGTGAAGAATTATTATAACACTTTGAATAAATAATTACAAATCAAATGGGAGGAAGAGGAAGAAAATATTACAACAATATAAAAACTTCATAAAAATCTCAAATGAAAAGAAAATAGAAGATGTAGGTCTTGAGGATCGCCGAAAACCATTATGCTCAACGCTGGAAGATTGCTTTATTCCGCCCATCGGAAGTTAGCTAGCCGGCCAAATAATTAACCGACCAGCCAACTAGGCCTAGCAAAACTTGTCTTGTTGCAACATCAAAAAAAAAAAAAAACAAACAAGGAATATATAGATGGCTCAACTAACCACTTCCGGTTAGAGTATAGCAAAACTAATATGAAATTAAAGCAAGAAAACAAATATAAGATAAAACATGCAAGAAAATGAAAGAAATGAAAAATTCACCTTCCAAAGAAAGAATGAACTTCTTAATTTCCAAACTTCCTCTTGATCACCCTAAAGGTTGTGAATTGTGTTCTCAATCCTCAATTCAAAAGCTTGGAATTTGAGCTAGAATGGTGTATTTGGACAAGTATGTTAATAGGAAATTATCACTCTGTAAGTTTCTTGAACTTAGCAAGGATTACTCTCTTTGATCAAAACTTTAGGACTTGGTTTCAATGAATTTCTTGAGTGGTGTTTAACAATGGAATATGAGACATATAGAGGCTAAGACATCTTCACTATTTTGGCAAGACAACTCTCTCTTTTTCAAAGTTTTGTCTTCTTTCTCAAACTCTAATATTCTCCTCTCAAACTTATCATTCTCTTTACACTTCTTTTCTCAAATTCAAGACCAGAGCTCTCCTTATATAGGCAATGCAAGTGGAGCATTGGTGGAAGGCAAAGTGGACCACTAATGGAGCATTTAGGGAAGATAATGGAGCTAATGGAGTTAGTGGAAGACAAAAATGGAGCATTACTTTCAATGGATCAAGCACTAGGCAATGGAGGCTGAGTATACTTGCATTTAATGCATAAATGGGTCAGAAAATAGGGTTGTGAAGTACTCCACCCGAACCCACAAAAATCTGGGCAAAATTGTCTCTAGGTGGTTGACCGGCTGGATGATCGAGCGATCGACCAGCCAGAAAGAATTTTTCCTGCTTCACTTCGGTTCAGTCTAGCTTTGCTTCGGTGCCCGACGGGACCTAAACACTTGGCCAAAATAGGCTTAGGGTGGAAGGTAAAGCTCAAATCCATCTTTTTTACTGAGGATTTTGTGAAAAACACATTCTTATTTTCATCATTGGGTAATCGAAAGAAAACAATCAAGTCTTAAGGCCAGTCAAAATGGAGTGTCTGCAGTACTGTGAAAATAGTATTTCATTATTCATGAAAAATGACGTTTGGCCTTTGGCCTATAATTTCAAATTTTACTATTCATTGAAAACAACCTTTGGCCTAAAATTTCAAACTGTTGCCTGCAAATTTGAAAGAGAAAAAATTGTAGTGACTTGCTTGTCTCAACGTGGTCTGAGTTGTAAAAGTTGTCTTTACCGCACAAAGCTTTTCCACACGATTGATTTATCAGAAGAGGAGTGTCTCCTTTCTTCAATGGATATATTAGGCGTGCGTGGAGCGTCTCCTTTCTCCAATGGATATATTTTTCGATAATAAAAAAAGTATTTTGCTTGGAGAAAAATAACGAATTGAAGAGAAAAAAATATGAGTATTCAAACTTTATTCTTCTACTGCATTTTCACTCTGTTCTTTGACTTTCAGATATGATATTCTTTAAGTGTTATCATTTATTTTCTTTGTTCTTACACTTTCATATCTACTTTTTAGAGAGAACTATTGTAAAAGAGGGCTGAAGTACCTCTAATCTTTATTGATTATTTGTGAGAGAACTTTGTAAAGGTGAAACATTTATTGTTGAGTGAGACTCAACAGATAAAGTAAAACCTATGTAAAATCCACAAGCTTGGTGAAACTTTGGTGGTACATTGAATTGATTGGTAGTGAAAAAAAATTCTCGAGGAGGATCCTTGAGAAGTGGACGCAAGCTCAACGTACTGAACCACTATAAATCTCTGTGTTTGCTTTCTCTCCCTCTCTTTTATGTTAATTATTATTGCTTTGTTTTTTGCTTATTGAAACTCAAATATTTTGATTATTATAATTAATATTGTGTAATCATTTTTATTTACCCAATTCACCCTCTCTTAGGTTGCCTACTGTAGACACCCCATTTTTGACCGTCCTCAAGACTTGGACGTTATCATTTGAACACTTGATGATCATCCTTGCTCGTGTTCGTTTTGAGTTCCTGGAGGCCTCGACCACGCGCCGTCCCTCAAGATCTCTCAACTTGTCTGTTTTGTGCTTGGTTGTGAACCAAACACTTGTGTTTTTTGCTTCTGAGG